CCAATCGTTGTCACGAGTAGCGTCTGGAGGAGCATAAGTAAGAAACTAGATTAGAAAAGGTTTTCATCGTAATTGGTCAAAGGACAGAACATAACAAAGCAAGTAAGAAACCTGCACCCTTCTTCTGCGACATGTCATCTGGAAAAAAACTTGGCCTTGGACCCTGGTACATTTACTTGCTCATAAATTTTACACAAAAAGTGACAGATGACAGAAAGGAAATATATGTGAAACTCAATCAAGAACAACACTAGTAGACATACAGGACAGATTCAGTTGCAACTCATAGCTGTAGGGGTAAGTCTTTATTCGTAAAAGTCTTAATATCCGAACTATAAATCTTAAGGCTTTAACATTCATTTCAATAGGAAAGATATTTCTCTTCAACATTCAAGCATTGAAATTCTTTCTTTTCTTTCTTTGTTTTTTTTTTTTTTTTTTTTTTTTTTTTTTTTTTTTTTTTTTTTTTTTTTTTTTTTTTTTTTTTGAAAAAAAACCATCACTAACATTCTTCTTTTAATATTCTTTGTGATACATCAATTGATGTATTGTTATAACAAATATTCAAAACTAAGGTGAAAATGTAATTCGATATGATGTGATTCTTTTTTAATTTCTTATCTTCAGAAAACAAAGATTTAATAATTCATTTTCTCAACTTCCATGGAATCTAATCGTCAATACCTCTATGGATGCTTGAATATTGTCCTTTGAGGGGGGGTTCTAGCTAAGCTAAGAGTACACCAAACCTAAAACTCTAAAAAGAAAAACTGCTGAGCGACTGGGAAATAATTTCCATCAAAAGACCTACCATGGTCCCAGGGCCCATGGGCAAAGCAATGCCATAGCGATCCATTATGGGTGGCATACCATATACTGCACCTGAAAAGAAGAACAAAACAAGATAAACAGAGGACCGATCAGCACAGCACTCACTTCGCATAGAGTACTCGTGAAGGCAGAAAAATGAATTTCAAGTTAATAATCTTGTTAGACAGAGCATTATGATGTCTTCATAAACAAGAATCACAAACAAAGGTGAGCATAATAGTAACATAACATACTATTTCCCATCAAAGATCCACTAGAATAAGGAGCAGGCCCAGATAGGTGCAAAGGTCTGTAGGGGCTGCCTGCAGAAAATCGGCTGCCGTAGTTGTAATGATATGCTGATCCCCCAGAAAATGGCACATCATAGGGAGGTATAGATGAACCGTTGAATATAGAAGAACCATAAGGTGGTACGCCAGGATACATTGAAGAGGGTGCACCAGAACCCATGTAAGGGGCAGAATAGGAGTAGCCCTGTGGAGCATGAACAGGCTTGGCAGCAGATTTCTGGAGAGAGAAAAGCTTAAGAAGGTTATTTGTTTTGTCAAGAGAACGTGTAGTTCAACTTTGTGAGTGTCGGTGGTGTGTTAATAAACAAACTTTTCTTTTATGAAAGAAACTTATGAGAAGTGTACGGGAACTGGCCAATGGATGTTACAAGAACTGGAAAACAAGGAGGAAAAAAAAATCATAATCACTGGAGTACTTGAAGAGAATACACCAAGAAAACTTACACCTACTATGTTCAATAAAGTACCATCTCATGAAGCTCAAGTAGTTAATAGTCACTTGTGCCTTGTGAGAAAATGTACATCCTAAAATCATAACTACAAAAAAAAAAATGAAGATAGCATAATTATCACAACCTAAAAATGCAAAACATAATTACCACCTAAAACTGAAAAATACAAACAAATTAACTCCAGATACGCCGCACTAAAAATGAAAAGTAAACATGAGATAACAAGATTGCTAGAAATAAAATGTTTCTTCTCAACAAACGGAAAAGGTTGTGAAGTTTTTAATTACAGATTGTGTATAAAAAAATTTGATAAACGTCTCCTCTTGCTCGTTATGCAGATGGATACAAAACAAAGCACTGAAATGAACACAGAGGGAAAACATACTAGAGCATTTAAATCCAAGAGACAACAAAATTAGGTTTTTCAAATTAACAAACGTGATAATTTAAGTTTCCTTGGGGGAATCATTCACGTCTTACAGAATTATGATCAGCCGGACGTGGTTGAGTGCAATTGCGCATATTGCAAGTTGTTCTAAATGAAAAATTGACGTTTCCACAACTAGGACACGTCCAGTCATCTTCCCTTCGGCTACCTACAAACAAATAAAATAATAACAATTATTAGAGAGAGGGAGATAGGAAGAAGACGTTCGTCAAATTTCTGGAAATCTCTCCAGATTCAAATATCAATAAATCTAACTTCGTTAATCGGTATGCCATATGTATTCACTCAAAAAATCTAATGAGAAAATTTACAAATGCAACGTAGTTGTAAAAAAATGCATGATCAAATACGAAGCTGTAACTGAATTACAAAGGAAACTATGACACCTAAACATACCATCGGTTCTAGCACGTTTGGCAGCAGAGGAATTCCTGCTATCAACCTGTACAAGACAATGGAGATAAGAGAAATTAAATAATTTTATTCACAACTAATGGATGCATCAATTCAAAACCAAGAGAAATAGTATGAGAATTTCCAACTCTAAATTCTACAGCAGCATCGCGCAATTACTGTCAGAATCCGATACATAACAATCGTACGGATAAACAAAGAAAAAAAAAACAAACAAAATGTGCAGATATCGAACAGAACCTAAGTATCATACAGACTATAAAATTGACCAATGTCATTCAAATTCAATAACTTCAGGAATACGGCGGTGTAATTAAGCTTCCATACATCAACAACAAGTAACTAACAAAGATTTTCTAGGGTTTAAGGAAGCAAGAAGTCGATTTTCTTTTCTTTTTTTTTTTTGTATAAAACAAAACAACAAACGATTGACGAGACAATTAAGTGAATGAACGAACCTGAGACATATTGCGACCAATCAGAAAGACGAGGAGAGGGAGATCTTGTTCTTGGACTCGGAATAGCTGCGCGTATCTATTTTTCTCTCGGGAACGGCAATGCCCGTCGGGTATACGTGACGAACGCCGTTCTATAGAATGAGCACGATTGGGCTGCCCGAATTCCTTTCTTCATTATATACTGCAAGATAAATGGACCGCAGTACGACCCATTTAGCTTCTTTTTTTTTTAATGACATTTATCGTTGCAAATTAATAAAAATATTAAATTAGTATTAGCCTCAAAATATTTCTAAATTTTTAAAAAATTTAATAATATTCTTAAAATTTTAAAATAGTTTATACTTTAATTCAAATTTATCTTCTAACTTTTAAAATTTTTTTAACTTACTATTTAAAAATACTCTTAAACCTAAAAGAATTTATTAATAAATTTGAATTAATATGAACTACGACCAAAGAATTTTCATATCTCAAGCTTCAATTACAAGGACGAGAGCCAAGAAACTACAACAAACCTCGTACACTTATATTTAACCTATGGTGAGCTCATCAAAAGAAAGTCTAGAAGACATTGAAGTACTCCCTTATATTGTGCAAAATTGAGCTTCAAGAAAGATATGCATTAAATGCACCTTAAGTTGCATTTAATGTACTTAGTTAAATTTATGGAACTAATTCAAGTATGATTAATAATCACATTTGATTCCTTGCACTGTTGTTTAATTATAATTTAAATATTTATTTGTCGTTAGTTTTTAATATAGGAGTTAAGGTTATAGTGTAACCCACCTACGTTACCATATAACCAGAATATTTTTTATTTACTAGTTAATTTATTTTAATTTTTTAAATTTTTTATTAGAGGTTGAATTGAATTTTTTTGAAAATAAAAAGATTTTTTTTTTTATTTCTAAATTTTAGATGGGTAAAAAAATATTCTCACCCCAATCTAAATTTTACCTTGGTAAAAAAGTGATTTACAAATATTAGATATCTAAATTTTATGATATTAATACCGTAAATTAAATTACTAAAAATTACCTTGTTGAGGTCACTGAATAACCAGCCGGAAAAAATTACAAGCTAATTATCATAGGTAAGAATAATGCAATATATACACATTACTTACATTATTCAAGTTTAAAATTGGATTATTTTCAAATTATTTTAAATAAAAATTATCAAAATAAAATAAAATAAAACCCGTACATGAGCAGCTTCACTCAAGCGTTAGGGTTGATTGCCATTCGGCTCATGCTATGGCGTTGAGGTTCGGCTACAACGCAAGGACGACGAACCTCAACGCAAGGACGACCTAGTTCCCTCACAATATTTTCATATTTCGTTTAACATGATACGATATTATCCACTTTTAGTCTTAATTCTTATTGGTTTTACTTCGGTAGTATTTTTAGATTATAAACTCATGATTATGATTTGTTGGATGATGAAAGTCCCACATCGGTTAATTTAGGAAATGGTCATGGGTTTATAATCTAAGAATACACTCTCCATTGGTATGAAGCCTTTTGGGAAGCCCAAAGCAAAGCCATGAGAGCTTATGCTCAAAGTGGACAATATCATGCCATTGTGGAGAGTCGTGTTCGTCTGACATGGTATCAGAGCCATGCCCTAAACTTAGCCGCTTAGTCGTGCCAATAGATTGGCAAATTCTCAAATGTCGAACAAAGGACTCCAAAAAGGAGTCAAGCCTGAGCCATGCCCTAAACTTAGCCGCTTAGTCGTGCCAATAGATTGGCAAATTCTCAAATGTCGAACAAAGGACTCCAAAAAGGAGTCAAGCCTCCTTGAAGGTACGAAGGCAGTAAAAAATGACTAAGACTCCAAAGGAGTCAAGCCTCGATTAAGGGGAGGCGTGCTTTGTTCGAGGGGAGGTGTTGGATGATGAAAGTCCCACATCGGTTAATTTAGGGTAATCTCCATTGGTATGAGGCCTTTTATTTAATATCATACTATTGTAGAGAGTCGTGTTCATCTAACATGATTAATTAATTAAAGTAAATTAATGATCCAAAGATCCACCACTTTTAATCTCCATTGCTTTAGAAAAGAAATGGAATACAAAAAAAAAACACATTCTAAACCAACAATATCAACAAAATTAAACCAACAAAAATGACAAACGACAGATCGGAAGCGCGATCGTCGCCGATGATCGGCGGTGTGGTTTTATTCCTCACGCATGATCGGCGGAAGGAAAGCAGTAAAAAAGAACACGGCGATGGCCACCGCCATCGCACCGGCGGGAGTATTGGCTACCATCTTATCTCCAGAGCTACCGTCGGGGACAGTCCTAGTCGTCGTAGTCGTCGCCGGCGACACTGATGACGTGGCATTGCTAAAAATAGCAACGTCCGGTGAATTTGCAGGTAAGCCGAGAAGCTCTGTCAAAAAAATAATTCGATTTAAAATAATTTAATGGATAAATAAATAAAAAAATAAAAATAAAAAGAAAAAGAAAAAGAAAAAGACGGGTTACTGGGACAGTAGGTAACGCTCGAGTTTTTCAAGTGACAAACAGAGGGAAGCTGAAGAATCTTGATTTCTTGAATCCCCAAATTCTTAATCTGTTGGTTACCGTTATGAGTTTGTTGTATAAAGAAACACAAACACTTAGGGTTGTTCTCTTTCATAACCTCCACCGAGTCGCAGCATTCCTTCCCCGGCGCCGCCGCCTTCCCCGTCGCGAAATCGAAGCAATTCACCACTTTTTGTAAGTCGTTGCTGCACTCCTCTTTCAGATTCTCTTCTTCCGCCGCCGCCAAACACAGCCCTACGGCCACTATCAACACCGCAATCTTTTTCATTTTATTTTCCTTCCTTCTTTCTTGGTTTATTTCTTGTTCATTATAAAGAAGAGGGAGGAGACTGACAGGTGGCGGTTAGTTAATGCGTTTGGGGGATTAAAGGCTGCCACGTGTGCGTGTGATTTGATCGGACGGTTGGGATTGTGGGAGGGGAATTAGGGGTTCTTGATGAAGCTTGGGTAGTTGGGGGTGGGGTGGAGTTAAATTTGCTTGCTTGGGTAGCTGCTGCTCGTCAGTGAGAAATACGTTGGAAGTTAATGTGGCTGAGCTGTACAACAACCACGTGGCGTGCCTTGGTACACGTGTCACTCTTGGTTCTCATGCGGGAAGCTTTGAAATTCATTGATTCTGTTAAGCGTGTGTGGGACCGGTAAATATCAACGGCTTAGATCGTCCGTCTATTTTTATTTTGAAAATTTTAAGAAATTATAAAAGGGTTAAAAAATATTCCTTACTTTAATTTTTTTTTAATTTAAAAATACCATTAATATCTCAACGTTTTAAAATAATGTATAGTGTCGGTTTTCTTTCATTTATTGATAATAAATTCTTTAATTTTTTTTATTAAAAAATTGTGTTTAATGCTAATTTTTAAATATATTATGTAAAAATATCTTTTGAATTTTTAATATGTTTTCGTCCATATATTCGTAATAATTTTAATTTTTTTTTATATAAAAGATAAATAAGAGTAATGCTATTTTAAAAATTTTAAAATATATTAATGAATTTTTTTTTTAATCAAAGAGTACTTTTTTAAAATATTATTAAAAGTTTATACATATTTTTGAATAAAATATTAAAAATTTCCGTCTAAAACTAATAAGAATATTTTTATTTTATAATTTTTTTAATTTAAATATTTATTGAAACTTTTGAAAATTTAAAGATATATTTAAAGCAAAATAATTCATAAATTTAAATTATTATTCAATAAATAATTAAATTCTAAAACTAATGAATTTGATAATTACAATTAAAATTCTCTTATAGAAAAATAAATTCTAATTATAATTCAATAAAGTACGTTATGTGACTCCAAAAATAATTCGATTGACCACGATGGTACATGAAATAATGACCATTTTATTATTATTATTGTTATTATTTTGTTCTCAACGTGGTTCAATAATAAACGCTCTCCTTTTATCTCAATAAGTTGAGAACGTTACACATCGTTAAAAGTATTTTAAGCTAATAGATATTGTTTTCTTTGAGACTTTTTATTTTAGGTTTTCCCTTAAAGTTTTTAAAACGCATTTGGTGGGGAGAGGTTTACACACGTTATAAAAAATTATTCGTTCCCCACTACAACTGATGTGAGATCTCACAATCCACCCCCTTCGAAGTCCATTGTCCTCACTGGCACATAACACCGTGTCGACTTTCTTCGAGGTCTAGCATTATCGTTGGCACTCCGTCTCATGTCCACCCCCCTTCGAGACTCATCGTCCTCACTGTCAATCGCCCAAGAAGTGGTAACTCGTAGAATATTACATCATCAGTAGGTGATTATCACGACTTGAACACATTTTCTCGAGTCTTTTATTTTTCACATGGACCTTCTTGACCAAGCGACAATATAACAGAATTACATGTATAATCGAATAAAAATATACAAGCTAGTATATTATATCGAACACAAATAAGTTTATAACTCAAACTTAAACCGTACAGATTAGGTTGGGCTCAATGGATAAATTCGTTCGGGTCCAACTTTTTGAATATCCTTAAATTTATTCTTCAAATACAATTTTTTTCGTAATTATCCCATACTTCATGAGGAAATTAAATGCCAATATATAAAATTCTTTAAACATTAAATGTAACCATAAAATTCTTTTTTTTTTTAAATAATGATTATTTGCTGATTTGGAAAAGAATTAAATGTTGATTTATTAAAAAAAACAAATTAATTAAACCGATTATAACAAATATTGGCATTTAATTAAGCAATAAAAAAAATGAAACACGCTAATTATATTCAAAATTATAAATTCTTAATTTTATTAAAGAATATCCTAATTAAATATAACAATTATATTTTAAATAATTAAGATGCATCATAACAACTTTTATATTTATTATAATAAAAATCAACTAAATTATAGTCATCTCCTCGAACAAAGTACACTATAAGCCTTTCTTTAATCGAATCTCGACTACTGTCTCTAGAGCCCTCAAACAAAATACATCATTTATTCAACACTTTAATCACTTTTTGACTACACCTTCGAGGCTCACAATCTTTGTTCGATATTTGAAGATTCTATTGTCATGGCTAATTTTAGGGCATGACTCTGATACCATGTTAGGTATCATGGATCTCCACAATAGTATGATATTGTCCACTTACAGCATATGCTCTCGTGACTTTACTTTTGTAGAAAAGCTTAAAGAGGTATTTGTTTGAGGGAGGAGAGAGCCCGATTCGACGAATTGGAAGAGGACCTACAACTTTGAATTATTTTCCAAATGGTATAGAATTGTTCGTTCTTTTTTGGGTAAAAAAGTTTTTACTTTAGGGTAAAAATGTAATTTTCTATCTTCCATAACATCCTCTCTATTACCTCTTCATAACCTAATCCAAAAGTTAATGGCACCCTCCTTCAAACTAGCACTTAACATATAAATGTGTCGATTTGAGTAAAAAATTGTCGAGAAAATAAGCTTAATAGTGCATCTTGATTAGTATGATGAAGAAGAACGACACAGTTGCAGGTATCATTTTTACCTAAAAACTTGACCGATGAAGATCCTGATCGAGTCAGATTGCATGTTCGTTAAAAAGCGTAATCGAAAAAATCTTGCATCTCTTAATCTCATTAAATGTAAGCTATTATCGATCATTAATGATTTTTTCATTTTTTCTTAGTCAACGTTGTTGGAATTATGCTATTCAGGTTATTGAATATGGTAGCTTATATTTCTCGTTATCACACACGTGTAGGTGGCTTAGACTTTGGACTTTATTGATTAGAATTTTTTATTTTTCAAGGAACCTCCTTATCAAAATAATTATTTTAAAAATAAGTCATTTGTATTTATTCAAGAAATAACGACTAGTTGATATTAATTTAAATTAATTTTTATTAATAAATGTAAAATTGGATAGGGATGGATGGATGGGGCATAAACAAGGACCAAGACGATACACGTGGCGATTTGTGAATGGACAAAAAATTATAATGGGCCCCACAGCGGGCTCGAGCATCCAATCATCACGTGAGTCAGCGAAACGTTGAATCCAGAGCCGAATTTACCAAAGAACCGGTCAAGCTGGATCTGCTGATGGGAAGGACAGCCCGCACAAGGAGGGCATTAATGTCTTTTCACCCACCCCTCTCGCAACCCCGTTTTCCTAAATCATTTAAACAAACCAAACGCCATTTCAAGAGCCCTCGATTTGTTTATTTCGGAGAGTTAAATTTTTATCATCTGAAAAAATGAAGAACAGATTATCCGTCAAGCCATGGATTCTCGGACTGGCCGTCGTCGGTTTAATCGCCGGATCACTGTTGATTTCCGGTTACATTGGATTCGTTGACAGTAACTTATTCTGCTCCATCTCTACCGCTGGACCACCGGCAATAACCGGATATTCACCGGCGGAGATCCAGCTCCAATCAATAATCCACTACGCGACGGCGAAGATAGTTCCGCAGCAATCGCTAGACGAGATCCATATCTCATTTGATGTATTGAAGGTCCGATGTCCCTGCAACTTTCTGATATTCGGCCTCGGTCACGATTCGTTGATGTGGGCGTCGCTCAACCCTCACGGAACCACCGTGTTTCTCGAGGAAGATCCAAAATGGATTCAGACGGTTATCAAAGACGCTCCGATGCTTCGAGCTTACCACGTACAGTACAGAACGCAGCTTCAGGAAGCAGATCAGCTGCTGTCGACGTATCGATCGGAGCCGTCCTGTTCGCCGACTAAGGCGTTTCTTAAAGACAATAAAAAATGTAAGTTAGCGCTTCATAATCTTCCAGAAGAGATTTACGAGAAGGAATGGGACCTCATAATGATCGACGCGCCGAGAGGATATTTCGCGGAGGCTCCTGGTCGGATGGCGGCGATATTCTCCGCCGCCGTGATGGCGAGAAACAGGAAAGGATCCGGCGTCACCGACGTGTTTTTGCACGATGTTGACCGGAAAGTGGAGAGGACATTCGCGCAAGAGTTTTTGTGTAAGAACAAGTATTACGTTAATGGAGTAGGAAGGCTATGGCACTTCAAGATTCCTCCGGCGGCCAACATGAGCAAAACCGACCGGACTTCCGATCGATATTGTTAGATCAGAAGGGGTTCGTCGCCGGAGATTTGCTGTTTCTGAAATTACTTAGTCTAAAGATAGTCATCGGTGTAGTGACCGGCGGTGAGGGAACATTTTCGTGGACATCAATAAAAAAAACCCGCCGGAGTCGGATCTGAGCGGGCAGATAGAATGGTATGGACAATTCAGCCGACCACTTCGGCTGTGTTTTCGGAGAAGAAGGTGAAAAGTAGAAGATTTCAATCTCTTAATTGACTTTTTTGCTTTGTTTTTTCCATATTCTGTAATTTGTTTTCTTCATGTCGTGCCCACTTTCCTACCACGTCGTGTATGATCATAAAATCATATTTTCAGTTAAATTTCCATTTTCAGCTTCAATTATCAGACTCTTTGCAGCTTACAGAACCCATCTGAAATCAAATCTTCTTCTACTTTCCTTATATATGAAGAACAGGCTTGGATAAGCAAAAATTAAGTTAAATTAGGGAGATTAAAGAGGAATAAGAGTGTGATTAGTTACATGGAATTGAATGCGTAAATCCTAATTCGAAAAGAAAGCTATAGAAAGTATTTCATACGGTCGTCTCTCTTCATTGCGTTGTATACGGCTTGAACCTGGGATCGAAAACCCGAGAAAAAGAAAAGAAAATCAAAATCATTTGAATAAACGAACCAACTATTATTATTATTTTTTTGATCTATTTTGGAGATGGGGTCGACCAAATCAAGAAGCATCGTAGCTGAACATGTTGGGGGGTGGAGGGCATGCTATGCTAAGAAATTGGAAGGCATAATTAATGAACGAGTTAATGAGAGAGGGAAAGAGAGGGACCTGCTCACTGGAAATTACTTGAACTGGTCCTATGTTTACCGAAACGTACTTCCCTTTGGCTGATAATTTATGCCTCACCTTGCCCTGTATGCAAATCAAAAGCAAGAACAAATCTGTAAATTGTCATTGCATGATTGTAAATTCGTGTTCAAATATGTTCGTAACGAGTGTGACCAAAATCACTATTTCCATAACTACGGGCATGTTTGGAAGTGATTTTGGACTATTTCCACCACTACGAGCATATTTGGAAGGGATTTTGGAATGACCAGAAACACTTTTTCTACGACAAGAGCATGTTTGGAAGTGATTTTTAAAGGGTTAGAATCACTTTTGTCGTATTCAAAATCACATCCAAGCGTTCAAAATAAATTTTCAGAAAAAATGATCTAAAACCCAACATTAAAATGATTCTATAAAAGTCAACTCATAAACAATTCTCGAATATCACTCTAAAACATGCCCTTAGAAAGGCACGAGAAAAGTGATTCTTGCCATTTTAAAATCACTCCCAAATATGCCCTAATAAACGAGCAGACACTATAGAGAAACTACGAAATTACTGGAAACAAAAGAACTAACAATAACAAAATAAATTAACCGTACAACCAAAATTAGTTTAAACTAAACAACCTCAAGGCGTAAGAATTAACCTGCAGCTAAAGGAGATAGACAATTACAAAGATGGAAAGATATTTAGAAGCTTTTCGATTCTCGACACTTTCATAGTCTGATTTAACAGTAACACCTTGAAAGTTTACTCGCTCGAGAAGTTATGTATCCTCGACACAAACCAACTTAAATGTTTCGAGTTCTTTCTGATCTTTCCCCTGCTATTTTTTTTTCTTTACCAATGATCTGTTTGACATGTACAGTCACAATACTTCGGGGCGGGGGGGAGTGGAACCTTTACTCTAAGGAAAACTCTCGAAAATGTACGAAAAGAACTTAAAAGTCGTAAAAAAAGGAGAAAAAGAGTTGTTACAAAAAGGGAGAGTAAAGAGCTTGATGAAGAAGAAGCAAAAAAGCAAAGCATCCTAAAACTATTCAATTACAATTTACTTCTACTGATACTTTGAAAGATTCTCCTATTCCTTTCCTAGCGAAATCTTCCAAAAGAAAGCTCTAAAAGTATTATGCAGCAACATTTCGGCCTTATCTTTGAAAGGATCGGCAAAGCAATGACAGAGAAAAGAAGTCTGCTACATGACATTAAACAGCCTCCAACAAAATCTTTAGTCAAATTATTTCCAGTAGAACGCTCCATATGAAAAAGTCATCAACGATTCGTTAACTGTCACAGAAAACTTTGCAATTTGGCCTAAATTTTAAAAATGACGAGAAATAAAAAGGTAGTTTAGAAAAGGACAAATTCGATCTAAGTAATTCCATCTCCCTGAAACAAGAAGGTTGCATTCATTTCAGTAGCCCATGACAAAATATTCATCACGGTCAACCACGGTCAACCAGTAAGGATCTCCCTAACAATTTCCCTCAATTTCCCTCAATGTGAAAGGGGAGCCCAATTGTAACAGCCTAAGACCACTACTAGTCGATATTGTCCTCTTTGGGGTTTCCCTTTCGGGCTTCCCCTCAAGGTTTTTAAAATGCGTCTACCAGGGAGAGGTTTTTACACCCATATAAAGAATGTTTCGTTCCCCTCTCCAACCGATGTGGGATCTCACAATCCACCCTCTTTCGGGACCCAGCGTCCTCGCTGACACTCATTCCCTTCTCCAATCGAAGGGAGATCTCACACACACACGGCTTGAACAACAAAAATAAGGGGTAATTTGTTGGGCCTTAATTTCACTTAATTAATGTTTTAATGACAATAGAATTACTTCATATTAATTAAATTTAGCGCTTGAGCTCTATTGTTGTGAACTTAAAGTAACTGGCACAACAGTTTTTGAATTATCTAAACTAATGCTAAAAAGATGAAGCTATGAAGAAAGCAGGTTCGTCGATCACTGAACTTTGTGTAGCATTTCAATGATAATCACCATAAGGCCACCTTATCCAATGATCTAGAATAGTACGTAGATCTAAAAGAATCACTTGTTCAAGATCTTTCGATTAAAGAACATAATTCTTCTAGCTATGGAAGAACCTACTTTCTCTTTATCCAAGGCATATTTCAGTCTAATGAATCTTCCACTTATTTGATGGGATGGTTAAGAGATTATCTATGATTAAACTCTTCACAACTTATCAATGGATATAATCCTTTTGGTATGAATAGTTTACTAGTTTGGGTGTGGATGTTCTTATTTGGACATCTTGTTTGGGCTCTTAATTTCCTGGCAAGAATTGTTTGAAACTTTAGTGTGGGCTCACAAATGAAAACCTTTGGCTAATTTGATTCGATGGAGAGATAAACCAGTGGCTCTTTCTAGTGTGGCAAGATTAGTTTGATTAGCCCACTTTTCGGTAGGTTATATATTTACAAATGCAGCATGCAGCTTTCTTGATTGCCTCTACATCAGGAAAAATTGGTTAATTTTGTATGCGTTGTATCCTTGAAAATCTCATTTCTTTCGATGGAGAAAGGGATCTTCTTTCTTATATTTCTACATCTAGAATCTGACTTGTATCATTGATACTACTAGGAACGGAATCATCATGGCAAGGAAAAGTTTAATTCAGAGGGAGAAGAAGAGGATTGGTATGTGCTTACACCATGGACCCAGTGTACTAAACTTGAAAGAAGAGCAATTCACTCCTATAAAAACTCATCTTGCTAAATTGATTGTAAGCCCTAATGGATGTTAAAAGAATTTGATAGCCTTAAATAAATAGGAGATTATAGATCATCTTAGTAGGAAAAAATCTAATAAAAACTTCTAAACACGAAGCCATCAAGAACAACTTCAATCCATTATAAAAGGAATCCAAATAAATTAATCGACCACCAAAAAGAGAAATAAGGGAAAAGAAAAGACAAGATAATATAAATAAGCACCCAAAATTCAATCTTCTATTAAGCAGCCGAGAAATTGGCAGTAGAAAAAACATCCAAAAATCCAAGATCTCTCTTTTTCGTCAAGCCACCCTGAAAACATTGACATAAGCCTTCTCAATAATAAGTCTCTGCTCTAGACCCTTTTATTTTTTGGTCCTTTTAACAATTGCCTACTATCTAGCTATGAACTTCTGGAACTATACGCTCCAATAGGAACATGGCTCTCACCATAAATATCGATAATTTCCTAGCTAGAATATTGACAAGTCATTCCTTCAAAAAAATAAAAAGGGATTCTTAAGCTTCAATGCACTAAAGCATTCTTTTGGAATTTTTGGCTTGAAAAAGGGACAATAGGGTTTTCAACAACAAAGAAAAGAAAAACCTTCAATCACTTATTAGACTCGCTCTCTTTTGTGGGTGTTAGTAACGATTTCATGGATAAAATGAATAGAAAGGAGAACCAGGCTGCCTTCCATTTGTCAGAAAGAGGAGTGAGACCTATGCAGGGACCATCAAAAGCTTTCACAATATTTTTTGTGAACTTACATGGAGATCCCACATCGGTTGGAAAGGGAAATGAAGCATTCCTTATAAGGGCGTGGAAACCTCTCCCTAACAAATGCGTTTTAAAACCGTGAAGCTGACGACGATATGTAACGGGCTAAAGCAAACAGTATCTGTTAGCGGTGGGGTTGGATGGTTACACTACATGTATATGGGATGAGGAAAAGAACAAACTTCGCCAGTCTATGAAAGTTGAAAGAAGTTCAAAATAATATTTTACGCATTTTTATGTTCAAGACATTTGCTGGAGTACACCTCTGAAGGAAACTGTTACAATACAATCTCTATAGACGCACAAACAATTATAAAAAACTACATAGTTCAAATTTTTTTAGAAATAACTACTAAATGTAAAACAACATAATACAATTAGAAGTTGCCATTAAATTTATGTTACATCTTCTAATTTTCACAATCAATTCATTCTGTATAATATTTTGTAACTGAAATTATTAAGAAAGGTTGTGTTTCCCACACATTAACACAGCAGAAGAAATAACATTATCTACCCTAATTTCATAATTAACTGCGGGCACAAATTTCATTTACTTAGAAATTCCACTAATATGATGCCTGTGGAATAAAGCTGTAACCGTCAAAGCCCACTGCTAGCCGATATTGTCCTCTTTGGACTTTCCCCTTCGGGCTTCCCCTTAAGGTTTTTAAAACGTGTCTGCTAGGGAGAGGTTTCCACACCCTTATAAAGAATACTTCGTTTCCCTCTCCAACCAATGTGGGATCTCACAAAAGCAATTGATAGACTTTGATTTAATTGGCCTAAAAACTGAAAATATTCACCTCAGGAATTGGCTGTTGGATGACAGACTCCACGGCGACAACCATAGATTGCACAAAATCATCTCCCCCGGTTCCGATTGCTGTAAAGCCTCTAACGCCCGGGTACGAGTTAACCTGTCCAATAAGTATGCAAATTCCATGGTGATGAAGATACCTCATAGCTAGTGCCAATAATATGGTTTTTACAGGTAAATCCTCCCCGACTTAAGAAATCAATGCTAATTTACCTACAAACTCAACCATCAAATGATAAAAACTAGCCATCTCATGCATAAATTGGCGCTAATGAAGCAACTATTCCGCACCTTTTGATCCAAAATAATCCATTCGTTGGTAGAATCATCAGTCACTGTTCCTCCCAGTACCATATTTGTGGTATGCCCAACCCTCCCTTCTGTCTTAGATACCTCTGCACAGAACAACCAAACGAACTCGCAATCAATTGCGTCGAATAGATTAACAAGTCGTCATGAAATAGAAGCATGATTACACAAGCAAAAGTTCACACACAAACAAGAATTACACAAACTTGTCCATGAGAAGAGTTAAAGAACGATTAATTGAATCATGGCTTACAATTCCGAAGCCTTGAGAACATAAAGGTCAGGTAGAAACCTGAAATTGCCTTCAAAACAGCCTCCTGAGGAGGGCCCTGGCCGTCCTGATCAGACGACGACGTCAGTTGTGTCTTGTCGAGCGAGCAATTCAGAACAGTTCGTTCAGGAAAGTGAAATCCTCGAGCCCTAGAACTCCAGACATTGCAATTCAATCTGTGAGGGAAGGATCGCCTAGTTCCGAGCGTGAAGGAAGAAGAAGAAGCACGGCTGAAGTGAAAGGGTCGCGATGGCTCCGTTAAGAATATTGATGCAGAACGCAACACAGCCCTGCTTGCAGCCATTTTTGGTTCTCAAGCTTTAACCGACTTCTGGGAATTGTATGCGAAATCAGTACAGATAATTTTCTTGCTATGGCCTTTGTGGATATGATCATTTTTTTGGTTATTTGAGCCAGAAAACAAAGGCTGTAAAATTAATTATTTTTTAATATAATTTATTTTTAACCATTTTTTATAATATAGACAGGCTATGCCACATCAGATAGATATTAAGTGATTTCGCTACTCGGACCATATCTACTAGTGGTGGCTTGAACTGTTACAAACGGTATTAGAGTCAGGTTCCGGACGGACTTGAACTGTTGCAAATGGCATCAGAGTCAGGTTCCGGACGGGCTTGAACTGTTGCAAATGGCATCAGAGTCAGGTTCCGGACGGGCTTGAACTGTTGCAAATGGCATCAGAGTCAGGTTCCGGAAGGGCTTGAACTGTTGCAAATGACATCAGAGTCAGGTTCTGGACGGTGCATCAGTGAGGGCTGAGTCTCAAAGGGGATGAATACCGAACAGTATGCCACTGAGGACGTTTGCCTCGAATGAGCGTGAATGATGAGATTTCACATCAGATTGGAGTGAAAATTTTCTAACACAAATAATTTTTATTTAATAATTAGCCTATCTCAAAAATAAAATATTAAGGGATAAACCAACGTAACACTTATTTATTTATTTTTAAATATTTAATTAAATTATGTTAAAAAATATAATAAAGAAATAACTATAAAATAAAATAAAAATATATAAATATTAAGGGTACATTTGATTTTGTCTCCTTTAATATTTAATAAAATTCAGACTATTCAAAACCCTAACTTTCATTATTCCTATCCCGTCCATCGCCATAGCTCAGAAGCTCAATTTCACGACCCTATCGAGTAACTCGCCGGCGGTAACCGATCCCGGTGGTTAAAATGTACGGTTCAGACAAAGGCACCGACGATTCTGAGCGCACCGCTTTCAGAAGAGCAGAGAAGAAATACAAACTGTACTATGACGACACCTATAAATCTTCCAAAAAGTATATTTCTTCCCAATTTGCTCTTTCAGGTTCTATTTCATTCAGTTGGCATTGGACTTGCTGTTAGAGGCGATGTTTCAAACTCTTGCTTATGATTACTTTCAGGAAAAAGCTACCGAAACAAGTGGATTTGTCTGAGGTTATCGATTTCAAGCGTATCCTCGAATGTTACAATCAGGATGGTGCGCTTCCGCTGGGCGTGAATGCGACTAAGTGCGATCTCGATGGACCAGTCTTCTGCTTGGAGAATCGTCCTGGTATTGCTAATTCTCCATTTTCGATACTGTTTCAAAGAAAAAGATCCCAAAATTCAGTTGTTCTCTCTGTGTCTAAAATGTAGGGTTTTATTTTATTCCTGGTGCGTTGAGTTTAGAAGAACAATGCCAAAGGATTAGGGAGAGTTTAAAGGATTTCCCGCAGCCTCCTAACAGAACCAATCATAATGCTATTTATGGACCAATTCAAGACCTGTTCATTGCTGCTAAGGAAAAGAGAGTTTTAGTTGAAGATAATGAAATCTCTGCTTCCAACGTTGATTCCGACACTGAACCTTCCGTTATCAATGGAAATTCTAATGGATGGAAGTTCGTGGAGGAAAATACTGTTTCATCCAGGAGGGGGACCTGCAAATCAGTTCCGGCCTCTGCATTACTCCGGAAGTTGCGTTGGAGTACACTCGGCCTACAATTTGATTGGTCCAAGGTGAGTTTAACTAGAAGACTCCATATTTTACTCGTGTTTTACAGTATGAACTCTCGGTAATATTAGGAGTGTTGAGGATTGTTGGGAAGGAGTCCCACCTTGGCTAATTTAGGGAATGATCATGGGTTTATAAGTAAGGAATATATCTCCATTGGTATGAGGCCTTTTGGGAAAACCAAAAGCAAAGCCATGAGAGCTTATGCTCAAAGTGGACAATATCATACCATTTTGGAGGTTCGTGATTCCTAACATGGTATTAGAGTCATGCCCTTAATTTAGCAATGTCAATAGAATCCTCAAGTGTCGAACAAAGAAATTGCTAGTCTTGAAAGTGTAGTAAAAAATGACTCATGCACCCTTCGTTCGAGGGCTCCAGAGAAAGGAGTCGAGCCTTGATCAAGGGGGGAGGTTGTTCAAGGGCTATATAGACCTCAAAGGAGGCTCTATGGTGTACTTTGTTCGAGGGGAGGATTGTTGGGAGGGAGTCCCACATTGACTAATTTAGGGAATGATCATGAGTTTATAGGTAAGGAATACATCTCCATTGGCACGAAGCCTTTTGGGGAATCCCAAATCAAAGCCATGAGAGCTCATGCTCAAAGTGGACAATATCATACTATGTCCTATGTTTACAAGATACTACCACTGTGGAGAGTCGTGATTCCTAACCAGGAGATTATTCGGTGTGGGGACTTTTTCTTTCCAAAACGCCAAAACCTCCCATACTGTATCTATGGATTTGTTTGATTTCTGAATTAATCTCCTTGTTATGGAGTAGCGAAGCTATGACATATCTCTGCCCCATAACGATATTCCCTCTGCGTTATGTCAACTTGCCAAAAGAATGGCGGCAGCTGCAATGCCAACTGGGGAAGAATTCAAACCTGAAGCTGCAATAGTGAATTATTTTGCTTCAGGCAAGTAAAGAAAAATTTGTTCATTGACATCAATAGAATGATAAGTAATGCATGTAAATGTCAGCAAAACCTTTCCATTACTCTGACACTTCATTGATATCTTTAGGCGACACGCTCGGGGGTCACCTAGATGACATGGAAGCTGACTGGAGCAAGCCAATTGTTAGCATGAGGTATCTTGCCAACTTATCCTCATTGAATTACTTTCCTGTCTGTTATGTTAAAGAGGACATTGAACTCCAGTACTTATTCTGTTATCTGCTTTATTCGCCCGCTCCAGTTTGGGTTGCAAGGCTATCTTTCTTTTGGGTGGCAAGTCGAGACAGGATCTGCCTGTAGCCATGTTTCTTCGAAGTGGAGATGTTGTGCTAATGGCTGGAGAAGCAAGGGAATGTTTCCATGGTAATGCAGCCCTCATGTTTACTCTTACATCATGCGTTACCCTTTTGTTCTATATATTGACCCGGATATCCGATTTCGACGAATGCTCAGTGATTCATCTATCGAAAAAACCGCTAACTTCCTGAAACATGCCGTGAATGTCTTGTAGGTGTACCACGGATCTTCACAGATGAAGAAAGTGAGGAAATTTCTCTTCTTGAAAAGCGGTTTTCAAGTCGAGATGATTTGCATTTTCTGGAATACATGAGAACTTCAAGAATAAACATCAACATTAGACAGGTTTTCTGAGTGTTTATGATTGTTCTTTTACATACTGGAGGGTATTGTTTAGGGTTAGTTTTGGATGAAATTTGTTGGTACTTTGTTTAAAAAATACGCTTTAACTTTCAAAAGTGTTTAAAAAGTACCATTAGAGGAGATTGATAAGCAAGTACGAGTAAGATATTAAATTTCACCGAAACCCTCATTAGCTCAAGCTTAGGACCATTAATTGGTCAACTTAAGGGGTAGATGTGAGAGTAAGTGATTAGCAGAACGCTGGAAATGAAAGTAATGAAACAGTGATACACTGTCCTAGGATGTCAAAAATGGTCAGCTAAAAGCTGTCGGAAAAGGCAAATTATCGTGTGAGCTCCATTAAATTTCTTTTTTTCTTGGGTATCCTAGTGAAATTTGGCCTCGAAAGCCTTCGGTAGAAGCCCGAGAGTTCAGATTTAAAAGGAAAAAATTTGGAAATTAATCCTCATCTAGATTTGGGTGCTACAAATTCTTCCTTCTTTAAAAACTATCGCCCTCGAAAGTTGTTTATGTCCGAATCTCAGGGTAGGACATCTTGTCCATTTTCCTTGCTTATTCTAAGTTGTCACAATGGTAACTCTATGGTACGGACATTCACTCACTACACATTGATCATGCTTACATTCATATAGATTCTAAAGGCTAGGGTCTTGTTCGTAAAGGCTGGTATGACGGGGATTACACCTTAGTTCACCTCAAGATAAGATTTGAGGTCTAATAGATTAGTGACATCGGAAATAGGTGAATCACCTCCGAACCACGGAGATTACACCTTAGTTCACCTCAAGATAAGATTTGAGGTCTAATAGATTAGTGACCTCGGAAATAGGTGAATCACCTCCAAACCTATAGAACCATAATAAATTATATATATATATATTAAAAAAAACTATTGAAAAAGGTAAATATTGTTGAGAGTGGGATTTGAACCCACGCCCTTTCGGACCAGAACCTTAATCTGGCGCCTTAGACCAACTCGGCCATCTCAACATGAAAAGTTTGAGTCAAGGTAGCGGGTTAAAACTCCCACCAAAATCCGACTTGAGCTGTCAAAGACAAAATCATCCTTGTCCTTTCTAAGTTTCAAGCAATTCTGGTGGGATATTGTATCGAAGTCATTCAATTAAGTCTTGATCCAGTTCAATTGTGAAGTGACACAATTTAGAACAAGATTCTAGATCTTTGATCTTTAAAGTAATCTAATTCTAGAATTTTCTGTTA